GGGTCCTAAACTGCCACCGTGGTCAGTTTCCCTGGCCCCTCCCGATGAGGGTAGCCCTGCAAGTTGTATCAGGATGTCAAACAAGGGGCTACGCCAGAGGCTGTGGTGGGTGGGGAGGGGCAGGCTGTCCTTATGGGCTAGCCTTTTGGGGTTCATTAATTGTGTCATTTGAACAATTCTTTGCCTCCTTTTTGACCCTTCTGCTCCTCTCCACCTCAAACGGAACTGACTGGGCTATAAGCCGAAGGATCCTTCGAAGGAGCCGGCTGTCTGTCGGGGAGTGTATTCTCAAACTCTGGGCTCTGCCGAGGCCGTGAGCTACGACAGCGCCCGCGGCGTTAAGCTGGTCTGGAGCCTGCTCTGGCATTCGCACAGCAGTGGCAGGGGTTCCGGTGTCACCAAATCCTTTTCTATTTGCTTATGATTTTTTACCTGAAATTTGCTTGAACCAGAGTGACCTCGGAGACCACGGACTATTAGCAGAGCTGCTCAATAAGCGATGAGGCGAAAAGAGAAAGTCTCCCTCCGCCTCTGAGGAGCTGCGTGCTGAAGTCCGCGAACCTGAAAAGCCCACTTTGCCAGGATTTGATCGGCCACGGCTCCAGTGGTGTGTCCTCCGCCTCAAGCAGTGTGCGCTCCAGGAGAGGGAAGTCCAGGAAGAAAAGGTGTTTCTGCCCACGAAGCAGGTCGTCTACACCCAAAGGTGCTCCAGGGACACCCCGAATCTAGCAGAAGCTGATGCTCCTCCCAAGGGCTGACTTCAGCGCCCACACACCCTCCCCAACAGTGAGCTCCTAAAAGCGAGGGGTTGGTATGTAGAACATGGCCTAAGGCTCTAGCCCTGCCCAGGAACTGTGGACAATTTGTTTAGCTCTGGATTTACAAAACAAAACTTCCATAGCTAGTATAGCCCAAGCCTGAAGACCTGAGAGGTAGTCTATGCCAGCCATGCCAACAGAGGTTCAGGAATGAAATATTTCCATTAATACTGATATTAAGTAGCCTTTGGCAAGATGTGGGCTGATTCTTCTTCTCTCCTCCCAAATAATAGTGGTTCATAAAATAAATGGACGTGAATTAATTATATTTTAGTCTTTTGGAGACACAGATCTCCCTTGACTTACGATCGCATTACATGCCCAGAGGACGGACCATCCTAAGTTGAAAATATGTGCTGTACACACTGACCACACAGGGGCCAGTGAGACCCTGGAGAACATGGGTGGTTTACCGGGGTTCCCGGGGCTGGCTGGGGGCAGTCCAGCACCACCAGTTCCTTTGGGTATGAGGCTAACTGGGAGTTAAAAAATAAAAATTCACAGTACAGTTTCTATTGAATGATTATCACTTCTGCACCATCTTACAGCAGGAAAAGAAAGTAAGTCAAACCAACCTATGTCAGGGACCACCTGTATTTATGTTTGCAATATTCTACTTTATGGCATGCAAACCTGAGGCTCCATTCCCACAGCACTGCCCTGGGCCCTTGTAAGACTCTCAGGTCAGAAGAGCATCCTTCCATGGTCTGACCTGACATTCACTGAGTAAGTGTTTACTATGTGACTCATATTTATATAAAGTTAATCTCATTTCACCTCTATCTCTTCTGATGATGTGTGGAAAGGAATGTGTTTCCCAGAGAAAGTGTGCCCCAGAACACCTTGTTAAGTGGTTCTGGAAAGGAAGAGGCCAGAATGGGGCCATCATCCTGACTTGAGTCATTGCACTGACTGGAAGGTGCACTGTGCCCACAGGATATATTTTAAGTTCATTGCCAAGTGCAGGGTATCCTCTCCACCACACTAGTCAGCTCTCCTGGACATATAAACTTTTCACCTCTGCTTGAGTAAATAAATGCAGGCTGCCATCTTGCAGAAACAGGGTGGAGAAGCATCTCTATGTTAGAGGCTGGATGCCATCAAATTAATTCATTGCATGTGTCATCAGTTCTGTAAATCCAAGTGTCTATATTCAGTAAAGCTGAACTCAATAATTTAGGCTAGGCTAAAAGGTTGGGGAAAATGGAAGATGGCCTGCACATGTGGCAGAGTGCAGTGGGGAAGAAAAGAGGGGCATACTACTTGGTCATGAAAAAGGTGGGATCTTGCCACAGTATGATTTCACTGTGAAATATAAAGAAGCAGAAAAAGGAATCAAACAATCAAAATAAACACCTTTAGACTCTGACAAGAATGGTGGCTACCAGGAGGGAAGTGGGAAGGGAAGGAGTGACTAGACGGAGCAGAACCAGTGGGTGATGGATGGTGACTGGACCTTTGCTGCTGGGCGGGTAAGATGCATTCAGCTGCTGAGACAAGAAGTACGCTGGGAATGTAAACTAATCTCAATAAATATTGACAGAAAAAGAAAAAAATTAAAAACACACTTCCCAAACAAAATGGGAGAGAGGAAATCTGTGTGAATACACAGGAAAACATTCGCCTAGTACCACCTTGCTTCTGTAGCGCATGTTAGTGCCATAAAGCATTTTACAGCAGATGAGCTTCTTTTTCAGAGATCTTCACTAAGGTAGAACTAGCTGACAGCATGGCAGACCTGAGGGGGTCTAGGCAACAGTGACAGACCTGGGGCTGGCACCCGCTAGTCTGCCCCTAAATCATCAGTTAACTCTGAGATGACTGTGAGCTCCTCTGAGACTCAGTTTCTGCATTGGTTAAACAAACATTAAATCATCATCAACGACGAATGTCTTTACCAGCGTGTGGCTGTGTACCTGACAGTGGGCTTCTGTGGCACAAAGAAGCTAGACACAACCTCGTGGCGGAAAATGCTGACAAAGGACTAGTTAGGGGTCTGCCTGCTCATCAGCTGTTCACCCTGACCGAGAGGGAGAGCTTCTCTGAGCCTCAGCTTCCTAGTCAGGAGGCAAGGGCGGTCAGAGTCAGCTTGGAGGACAGCTGTGTGTGTTCGATGGGACAGTGAATGAGTGGATGTGAAAGCCCTTTGAAACGTTAATGATCTGTTAAAACGTGATAGCATGCCATGTCCTACTGTTACCACCACACAAAATTTCATTAGCCTTCTGAGACTTACCTGACACGGAAACAGATGAATTTCACAGCCCTTACTATCAATATTTGCCCAGCATAAATCCTCATCAGAAGTAAAGGCCATTTACAAATCAGGGGGAAATTTAACTTTTTCACAGCCTGACTTCCACAAGATAGACTTGTGGGGACCCTGCAAAAGAAACGATGTCTTGTCCACATAGACAACAGAAACGATGTCTTGTCCACCATCATGGCAGCCAAAACTATCTCTTCATACAGACCTTCCAAAGAACAACAAAGCCACCACTAGGACCATAAATACTGTAGTTAGGAAGGCAGAGTCTGTTCTCTCAGCCTTTCCAAAATAATCACTGGAGCGCACCATTAGGTCTGGACAGTGACACCCTGAACCACCCCCCTCCTTTGGAAACACAGTCCTACTTTATGATTTACATTAAACCATCATGAAATTGTCGACTCACCACCACCATCCACACACACTCAGCCCTGCACTGCACACTCAGGGTTGAGCTGAGAATGATACACTTGGGCCTGAATGATAGTCTTCCACTCCAAGGAGAGTTTTCATTCCCCTTCTTGGAATGACTATATATTATTTAGTACAGGCTTAGAAGAAAGGTCATCTAAAGAGGGAAAAATCTCCTACCCTGCTCCCCACCTCCACTTACCCCCACCCTCAGGATGGGAAAATCACAGCAGGCCTTCATTTCTGGACAATATTCAGAAAGTCTTTTGTTTTCTTCTTGCTCTGTGGTACATGTGTTTGAGTTTTAAGCACTAGGGATCATTGGCAGGGAAGTCTATATTTAAAATCAAATAAGCTTTTAATTAATAGAATTTTCTGGAAACCACAGTTCACATGGGCCTCAGGTATGAGGGAAAATTAATTTATTTTTGAAAACCATAATTTTGTATAATAAATTTGGCTTAAGAACAAATTCAAAGATGACAAATAGTTGAAGGATAAGACACTATCTTATCCATCTTTGATAATTCCCTAAAGTGTTTGATAAGTACCTGTCAAATTAAATTGTCAAAGTTTCATAAAGAAAAATTCATTAACTCAGACTATGTTTTACATATTGTTATTATAAAAGTTCCATACCCAAACAAAATCAATAATGGCGTTAAGAGAAAACGAAGTTCATTTCTAATGAACTGAACTATAAAGTCTATGCCTCACAGAAATTTGGAACTAGACTTCATTCTTGATTCATGCTTCTTCTTCTATCAGCCTTGCTGATCCTCAGAGAATTTTAACCAACAACGTGGATTTCTAATTAGTTAACCTCAATACATTCTTTAAACTCTAAATGTGTCTACACAGAGTAAAAACAAACAACATATATATGTGACTGTACAAATACACACAACTGTTTCAACCAACGGATTAGGATAATTGCTAGAAGTAAAGGACTATCTTGTCATGACCCACAAATTGCCAGAAATGAATGTCTTCCTTGTCAACCTGTCATTGCCTGCCAGGGTTTTTCTCTTCTTAAATGAAGCACATCTAACACAGTTCTGAAAAGTAGTAATTGATCTAATCCTCTGAGTAACATGCATCTTCTCTATCATTATATACAGTTCTTGTTCAATATATTTACTGCACTTTTTATTGAGTAATATGAAAATGAGCGCTGAGTTGGCAGACCAATAATAAATAGACCTAAAGTTATCTGAGTTGCTCTCTCACATTGACAAAAATGGTGCTAAAGTGGATCCTAATTGAGACAGAGAAGGTAAAGGACCACTTCTAATGCTGAGATGAATTTAGCCCCAACTGGAGTCTATATCACACGCTCACGCTTTTCTGCCAGCACGCAGGGTTGGCCATGAATCAGCACGGCCCAAGCACAGCCCTCTGACACAGCAATCTCACGGCCTTGCCGTTGCGGCCGAGCAAGCTGACCATGGGAGCGTCTTCCAGTGGGGTGGGAGGAGGTAGAGTAGGCATAGGCACGTTACCTTCTTGCACACAGATGGGATTATCACTTGGGATCCAGCCTAGGCTTCCATTAAGATGTTTCATGCACAGTCTCTTTGTAGAACCCTTCAGCTTGAATCCGTCTTGGCAGTGAAATCGGGTGATAGAGCTTTCAAAGAAAACCCCTCCACTGGGTGTCCTGAAGCCATTCTCGGGCACGCCTGGGTCAGCACACACCTGAAGGTCATCAAACCCTGAGTTGACAGAGAGAAGAAAAGGTGCTTCTGAATATATTCTTCTAACGCCAAGGATCTTCCTGGATAAAGAACTGATACTGTGTTATTTCATACACTGCAGACCACTTAAGTACACCAAGAAAAAAGCCAAGACTACATACTGATGCACAGGTCATGCTCATTTTTTTTTTTTAATGGAGGTAAAATTGGTTTACGGCACTGTATATGATTCAGGGGAAAAAACTGACACCTCCCCAGGTGCATATCACCACTCCACACCCACCCGAAGCATCCACAGTCCTGCACCACAGACCACTGGGGCCCATCTCTACTCTGTTTCAACTCCAGCCCTACCTAACCTCAACCTACAGTCATATTTCAGACTTTGTATTGGTCTAGTTTTGTCAGGTCCTTTGTTTTGTTTCTTTATGTTCCACATACGAAGAAATCATCTGACTTATTTCACTAGCATATACCCTCAAATTCCATCTATGTCATCACAAACAGCAAGCATTCTTCTTTTTTATAGCTGAGTAGTATTCCACTAGGTATATAAACCACATCTTCTGTCATTAGGCATATAGGTCGTTTCCATAGCTTGGCTATTGTAAACAGGGTTGCAGTGAACATAGAAGCGCGTGTCTCACTTGGAATTAGGTTTTTGGCATTCTACTATGTCATGTGGCTGATCTATTTTTACTGTTTTGAGGGAGCTCAAGCAAGAGTGTATAAGGATTCTTTTTCTCCACACCCTGGTCAACATTTGCTATTTCTGGAGTATTTTATATGTGCTGTTTACAGGAGTGTGGTGGTATCTCATTGTGGGTTTTGTTTGTATTTCCTTGCTGATAAGTGATGGTTAACACTTTTTCCATGTTCCTCTTGGCCACCTGTATAATTTCTTTTGGAGAAATAGCTCTTTTAGAAATAAATAGCTCTTCTGCCCATTTTTAATTGTGTTATTTTCTTTTTATTGAGTTGTATGAGTTCTTTTTAGATAATGATATCAGCCCGTGGTGGGATGTATGATGTTCCAATATTTCCTTCCACTCAGTGGGGTGTCTTTTTGTTTTAATGACATTTCTTTCACTGTAAAGAATCTTTTTCAGTTTGACATAGTCCTATTTGTTTATTTTTACTTTTGTTTTCCTTGCTGCTGGAGTCAAGTGCTCAAATATCACTGAAGCCAATGTCACGGAATGGCTTTACTTCTGTTTTCTTCTATGTATTTTGTGGCTTCCAGTCTTATATGCATGTCTTAAGTCCACTTTGAGTTGATTTTTGTGTATGGAGTAAGAGAGTGCTCTAGTTTCATTTTCTGATGTTTAAAGCTGTGGCTGTCCAGTTTTTCCAGCACATTTGCTGAAGAGATTTTCTATTACCTATTGTATAGTCTGGGCTCCTTTATTGTAGATTAACTGTCCATAGAAATATGGTTTTATTTATGGGCTCTCGATTCTCTTACATTGATCGGTGTATCTATTTTTATACCAAAACCATACTGCTTTGATTAATTTGGTATAGTTTGAGTCTGGGAGCATGAGACCTCCATCTTTTTTTTGTCATGATTACTTTGGCCTGATGCTCTGCTCACCGGGGCCCTCCTTCTCCAGAAGTTGTTTCTAGTGTGTCCTAAAGTCCCCTGTTTTTCTTTGAGGAATTAATGACTTTGTTCTGCTAGTTGAACTGTGAGTATATGGAGGAGGGGAGCCCAGCATATTTACTCTGCTACCACTTTGCTACTCTCAGAACAGGGCACATTAGAACTTTCAGTGCCATGGCCAATCAGTGCTTGAAAATTACAGTGCTTGAAGATTACAGATGAAAAGGAAATCATAGAAGAAGGAATACAAGATGTCACAAGACAAGTACATAAATTTGAAGGGAGCTGAGTTGGGAGAAGTCCTTGGAAAGTGGTCAAAGAGGGTGAGGGAAGATATGGGTCCTGAGATCCACTATGAAGGCCAGGTTAGATTCCAGCTGACTTAGTGGAAGGAGGCAGGTTCATTCTAACTGGGGACTAGCAAGAGCAATGCCCAGGGGCTTACGGGAATAGGCTGAGGTGAGGGCAGCAAGTAGGCATGAGAGCTGTTGGGAATGCCCACCTATCCTGCCCTCACGCCCATCTGCTGGGCTTAGTTCAAGTTTCTCGTCCTCTGGGCGCCTTCATTCCCCCACTGCCTCATCTCTCCCCTTCTTGTTCCCACCACTAGGACATGAACACAGCTCTGTAGTGAATTATTTAGATAATGGCCACCTCCTCCTTCAAAGGCAGGTCCTGCACCTTACTCATCTTTGTTCCCCAGAATCTATCGTCGTGTTCTTGCAAGGAAGTGCTCCACAAATATATGCTGGACGTATAAACAACTGGAAAAGGAGGCAGGTATGGGCAGATGGAGCAGGGCAGGGAGTACTGACAGGTCCACAAAGCAGCAGCCTCAGGGTTGACTGAAAGAGCCTGAAGTCCAGCCTGAAAGCCACAGCAATGGTGCAGGTAAGAGGTAATGGACCTGCAACGGCTGGGGACAGCAAGGACGGTCCACGTGTGCCCCAGTAAGTCCCAGGTACCCCTTGTCAACTGGCTGGATGTTGGGATTAGGCAGATGCTCAGACAGCTGGTGGGAAGACAGACCCAGAGACAAATATATCCAAGCAGGGTGGGGAAGGTCAAGCCCAGGGTTCCCCGTGTGCGTAATACCCTCAAAGGGCAGGGGCGCCAGCAGAGAGGTGTGACTCCTCACTGCCAAGAAGGCATTCCATTCCATTTTCTCCCTTACACACTCCATCAACCAATCCTTACTGAGAGCCCCTAAGAACAGGCGTGCCTCTCCACGCCCGCTCCCAGCAGCTGCCGGGCCAGATGGGGCTGGACACTGTCGACACACGGCAGAAGGGAAGGAACAGCCTGGACCAGTTCATAACACCCCAACCCAGGAAGCATCATCATCCTCTTTCGGGGATCAACTTGCTTCCAAGGGGCCTTCAGAAACAGGGCTCATGAGCTATCTGATCCTCTCTAACATACGGAACTTGCCAGATGTCCTGAGCTAGTAGGTGATTCCCCCCACCCCAACTTCTGTGCGCTCCTGCAGGACTCACTTGTTGCCCTTCCCCCTGGCACCATGACCCTCAGTATCCTGCCAGTGCCCTGTGCTGAAAGCCACACACCCGGGGATGCAGCACCGTGCAGAGAAGTCACAGCGAGGCACTCAGTCAGCAGAGGTGAGGAGGTATCCAGGGTGCAGAGAAAGTGGAGGAGGCAGTCAGGAGGGCAGGGAGCATGCACAGTCCGTGCCCCTACTGGTTAAGTAGGAGCAGAGCTGCGTTTGGATGAAACTGATGCTGCTTTCAGGAAGGAGACACCATGCAGCCCTTGGTCCCCGCCCCCCCCCTCCCCGGCAGTAGCCTGTTCATGCATCCTGAGCACCTGACAGCCTCAGCCTGCAAGGGTAATCAACGCTGGGGGTGGGCGCTAGAGGGGGAAGCAGAGCATCAGCAAGTCATGAAGTGATGGCTCTGTGTTCTTATTTCGAGAAAAAGGATTGCAGGATTGTCAGGGGTGGATGTCACCATTTTCCTTCAGCGTCTGGTGGTCTCAATGTCCATTGTGGCACCGAGGTGGCAAAACTAGCAGCAAGAACATTCAGGATTTCATCACCACCTCGAAAGCCTGGAGTGTAAATATACAGAAACCTGAAGCCTGAATGGGCTGGAAAGCTCTGGCAGGATGGAAGGGAAGGTCATTCTCTCCAGCACACGTGCTATCAGTCAAACAGAACCTGTCTGCTGTCATGCACTGGGGTGGCATATGCGTGGGGCGGAGACTGTCCACAGAAGGGTAACTAAGCGCTGCAACAAGTCTCTGGAGGGCCCCAAGCTGAACCCTTAAGGCTGGGCGCACTCTGGCCAGCCAGGTGGGAGGAACAGGGACTGTGGGAGAGGGTTTGGACTTCACACAGGGGCGGGGAAGGGACTGAAAGTTTGGCATACGAATGCGTTGGGATCAGATTGGCTTTTTTGGTACAATCTCTCTCAGTCCTTCCATGGAAGACTGGCTGATGCAGACCAGGTAGGAGGAGGGAAGATCATCAAAAATGTCTCCCAGGTCACGAGCTATACCTCGGGATCATGGAGCAGCATTTTAAAAAGACACACCCACCGATACAGGTTCTCTCTGGATGGTGGGTACAGGGGCCTGGGCTCTTGCAAAGATTTCTGAATGACTCTTGGCCAAACACTCCAGCACCTGTCTGAGGGCCACCATTTGAAGACTGAAAGGCCCAGCATTTGAAATTTGAAAACTGCAAGTGTGCAGCAGTAACCTGTCCTGGAGGTAATGGAATAGACAGGGCTATAGGGATGCTTTGTTGCCCCCAGGCCACACTGCTATTCTCTCAGGGAAGGACAGCTCATTCAAGTGAGAGCTGAAGATCCGGTCCTGAATCCAGGAGAAAAATACTTCCTGCTTGAATAAGTAAATGACAAGCACATCATGAAAATTACAGTGTGAGAACAGCAAAACATCCCCATGAAATAAATTTTGTACTGTTTCTTTATTCTTTCACCCACTTACTCTGCTTTCCTGCAACCACAGCTAACGTCTGACTGTGTTTCCATGTCTAGGCAGTGTGGATGAGATTAAGATTTGGAAGGGTACATCCAGTAAAGCAGATTGCCCTCCCTCGTGGTGGTGGGCCTCATCTAATCAGCTGAAGACATGAATAGAACGCAAGGCTGAATAAGGGAATTCTTTCTCGCCATCAAACTACCTTCAAGCTGGGACTTTAGTCTTCTCTCTTTAGACTCAGACTGGAACTGACGTGACTACTTTGCTAGAACTCAGACTTTCAGATCAGACTACAACAAAATCACTGCTCTCCTGCATCCCCAGCTTGCTTCCTACAGATCTGGGACTTCTCAGCTGCCACTACTTGCAGGAATCAATTCTTTACTCTGTGTGTGTGTGTATTTATATGTGTGTGCATGCACACATATACACATGCACAGACATGTACATG